TAAGTAATGCATAAACCTTCGAGGCGCGAGGCCCTTCGGACTGCGAGGCATAGGCGGTGGCCCACGTCGTCCATGCCTTACGCCGCCCTTGGTCATAGAAATGATGTAATTTGAATATAAATTATTTATAAATACGTATGTCAAGTTATATTTTTATTACGACGCAAAATATATTTAAGAGTTTACGGCCACTGTGCCGGGTGAGACATTGTTGAAACAAAAAAAAAGTTATGCATTCCATCACGTACATAAACAGTGTCGTAATTCGCCAAATGCAAATCAGCAAATTCGTAAAATTTTTTGTTTATTTTGAACAATCCGGATAATCGAAAATCCGGATAATGGAGGTCCGGATAATGGAGGTTCTACTGTATTTTAAACAGGTCGCTGCACTACTACCGAATTTTTCATTGCTTGTTCTGTGACAAAACTGAATTTTGGTCTTTTAAATTGAAATACCTAAATAAGGGGGGGCGAAATTTTCCTCCGCCCCGGACGACTGACACCCACGGTACGCCACTGGGCCATTATGGTAAGAACTCCATCTATTTTGTCAGTCGTTTACGGTGTCTTTCAATAGCATCTGCCGAACAGTCTGCTTGTTATATTTGTCGTATACTATTGGGGCTGAATTATCCTCTGCGGCTAATTTTGCTAGGGTCTTTCATTCCCTGACTCTCCTTGATGGGCACGAATCCAAGTGATTGCAATTGATCTCAGCTACAATAGGATGCAACCCGATATTTTTAACAGCATTATATGCCAACATAGAATCAGTGTGTATATGTACAGAACGGCAATTATAATTGCAGTTGATCCATATGATTGCCACTCTTATGGCAGTAAGTTCTGCTTGAAATACGCTGCAGTGATTTCCTAAACGAGATATCTGATAATAATTTCAACAGAATCCGAATAGGTGACAAAGCTACAGCCCACTGCATTATTAATCTTGGACCCATCGGTATATATATCAATATCCACAGAATCTATGTTGGTAAAAATCAAGTTATTTCTGCATGTTAAAAAATACTATCAAGTACAATCGATTGTTTGGACTCGAAAGTAAATACAGTATTTAATATATGATACTATAGTTCGCGCAGCGAAAGAGTAGACATGAATCAGTCCGAGCTGGAAAGGGATGGAATGAGACACGAAGGAGTTGACTTGTGGATCTGAACATAGAGTATTTTCATATTTACATTTCATTGATAGGATGCCTGGTAAATGCGTCATCTTACCGTTACGAAGGAGTTGAGTTCATTTTCGGGTCGGATCTTTCAGAAATAATGGTAATAATGCTCTGTCAATTCCTCGCTCGACCGTCTGTTTATAGCCAAATCGGAGATGAGTATGAAAAAAAAAGCCGCCTTGATATTGTAAGGCGAAAATACAACATCATTTTATATGGAAGTGAGATAGAAGGAATTAAAAGTTAACTTTATTTATTAGCTTTCCAGGCGAATGGTCAAGACGTTATGAGGAATTCAAGTACTAGTTTGAATTGTCTCAAAATTTTTACGGACAAACTGACTAGGTGTTAGACTGTCGCTTATTTTTCGGTCTTCTCCATTTTGGTCAGATCCAAAATGGAGACAACTGGATGGGCATGGAAAAACATCTTCCTGCCTTTTTTTTCTAATCAGATTTCCGTTATAGATTATCTCGAAGATGACTTGAAAACGTTAGCGATGTAAAAAATTACTTTGTATAAAAGAACAATTTAATCGTTAATTAAACATTTATTTTTTATACTTCGATCTATTTACATTATTCATTTCTTTAAAATATATATATTAAAGAAATAAATGATGTAAATAGATCGAAGTATAGTAAATATATATATATATATACTCTGTATATAAACGTTTTCCTTATTATACAGGATAATAGGATAATTATGGCAATTAATTATTTAATAAAAAATAAAAATTATATTGACCTTACATAAAATAATCTTTATTATGGATATTTTTAACTAATGTAATATTTTTTAAATTAGTAATATATTTCGAATTAAATAAAAAGACAATAGAAAAATAAAATACTGTAAAATGAAATTTTAGTGATTAAATATTTTAGTCACCAGAGGCCGCTATTACTTATCACGCCGTCGATTTCTGCATTTCGTCATTTGTTGTCGATGCTGTTCGGTGTGGTTGGTAAGTTTTATTTTTCTTCCTATTTTAATTTATAATAATTTGTATCATTTACATTTATGCGTTATTGTAAATAGAAATTTTTAGTTTTATTAGAGAAAATTTTTTTATATTTCAGAATTGATATTTGTTTTGGTAATTACTTACAAGCTGTATATTACGCATTTTGTCTTAATTTTTTTTCAAAAGACATTTAACAGTGGCGCTTTATAACTTCATGCGACTCAGGCAGATTTGAATTTGGGACCATATACGGTGTTGACTTCAGACATTTTTCTTCGGGGGAAATATTTTCTTATAAAAGATCGGTTTGGAGGCCCAATCAATTGCTCTTTTTGCACATAGGATAACGTATTAACGTTTACTCAATTTATATATAACAGTATATAAACATGTACTGTATCTTCTACCAAAATAATTGTCATATGAATAAATTTATTCTATGTCAGTTATGCAATTTTTCTTTAGAGCAATGCACTGATTGATTTCTCCATTTTTGCAGTCAATGCAGTTGTTATAATAAAGTTTAGCAAAAGTTTTTTTAACACTAATTTTATTATAATTATTTGCAATAATTGTGTATGTTAATTTTTTGTAAATTATTTTGTATTTTTTGTAAATTGTATTGATTGCAAATTTATGAAAGTTAAGTAATACATTACCTGAGAGATATTTGCTTAATTGTTATAAGTGAAAAAAATTTGGCAAAAGATAAAGTTTATAAAATTTTATGACAATATATTTTTATATTTACTCAGTTTTTTGAATGGATAAAATTATAAGTTGTTACAATTGTTTTAAACTAGTTTCTGTTCAATTGCTGTACAAAACAAATTGTTTGAATTTTTGTATCTGGATGTAAACTTTATTTTAAACTATTCAATTATATATGTATATTGAAATTTTTAAATCATTTCTTTGTCTGTTTAATCGTAAAAATAAGTCTAGTTGCATTTACCATTAACAATGAAAATATTGATCTGTTTGGGAGAAAATATTGATTTTTATAAGATATTGATTACTGAAGTATTGATTTGGTTACGTAAGTAAATGTTATAGAAGAAATTTATCTTAACTATTTCAATAATATAATTATTTAAGTTGTTTAAATTTATACCAGAGAAATAAATTACATTTTATACAGAATTTCTCACTTAATATATTAAGTTTTTTAATGATAGATATGGCATTTGTTTTAAAAACTTTGTTTAATGACAAAGTTTTGCACAGTTGGAAAATTCTTTATAAAAATACGACGTTTGTTTACTTTAGTTTTACTGCAAATCTATACAAAAATTTAAATGTGTAGGAAATGCCTGTTAATGTAAAATAATATATATACATACATACATACATACATATTCATAAAGTATTTTTCTTACTAAAATTTGCATAAAAATATTTGAACCTTTATCTAGATAGAAAAAAAATTTTATTTTCAAAACCTTTCTACATTTTATATTTATATAAAAGATTATTAGTTTAAAAAGTTGCATAAATTTACTAGAAAGTAAATAAAGGTAATTCTTTTTTCATTTTATTTAATAATAACAATCATAATAATCAAATTTCTTTACAAGATAACATTCATTTCATCTCTTTAGATAAAACATCTTATCAATATTGTTTAAGATGCATTGTGTTAGTAACTGTTTAACTATATTTTGTCTATGAAGGACTTAGATATGATATTGAACAGAAAACAAATGCTATTTTTTATTTTACTGCTAGCTCATGTATCTAGGAATGCCCAAGTTAAATATTTGTACAAGTAAAATTTTGAAAATAAATCACAAAATTGTACATCATTAACAATTTGGTAACACACTGATGAAATAGTTGCTAACCTAGGGGAAAAGAAAATAGTTTTACAAAAAAAATTTTCATAATTTCATATTAATATAATATTATATAAGAACCATTATAATTTCATTATTGCTTTTGAAACAAACAACTTTATCTTGATTCTAACCAAATGATAGTCTTAATTAATTAGGCTATTAATGATTAAATTAATCCACTATTATTAATTTAATCATTAATAATAGCAGATTTATAGCCAATTAATTAAGGTGATTGTTTGGTTTGTACCAATGTGTTGGGCTTTGGAAAGTTTAGTATTTATTTATTCTGATTAATATGAAATCTGAATATAGCCTATATTCAGATCTTATAATAATTGTATTTATATATCTAATGAATGAATTGAACTGTTTTATTCATTTACTATTTTTAAAATTGAAATAACTGAACATGAAGTTAAATATGGCTTTTTTAATATTTAAAAAAATTTTTTTTTGTCAGATTGGTCTGTAGGCAGTGACATATAACAGAATTGTTTGCTAAAATAAACTTTCATGATCATTCAAACAGAATTTGTAGACTTTCATCATATTTTATAGAAAAATTCCCAAAACAAGTTTAAGCAAAGTATTTAAAGAAAAATAAAATTTTCAGAAGAAAAATTGAGATAAAAGATGAAATTAACCATCATGAATCCAAACATGTCTACAAATGTCTCATGCAGATTTCTGTGCCACAAACAAAATTTCCCTATTATTTATAAGATTATAAAACATTTTAATTAAAAATGTCAGTTGGTGTACAATTGTGTTGTACACAGATTAGGAAATCTCTATCCTTTGTCTATTTTTTTATTTGTTTAAATTGTGAATAATCATAATAAAAACATAAGTGAATAATTCTTTAATGTTTAAACTATAGAATGCAAAAGGATTGTATTCTTGATAATTTGTTTTATTTAAAAATAACTAAATGCAAACAAATTGAATTGTTAGTGATTCATTATCATCCAAACTTACAATAGAGGGTACGTTCATAAGGTCAAACGAGTTAAACCTGTTAGTAACGAATCAATAGACTTACTTCTAGTATAAACCAAAACGGTGCTTAAATCACTTTAATTTCTTTCACTAACGTTTTTGAACTTTTTGGTTCTTCTTCAGTTCTGAAGTTACAGTGTGTGTTGGAAGTAGTAACGAATCATTCGAAAAGTAGTAGTCTTGCTCAGTGCATGCTCTGCGAGGATGACGTTTCGAATGAAACTCTAACGAGGCTCATGAAGGAAAGAGTAAGTTTACTTCGTTAAGAAAATGGCATCTGATGATAACGATGTTTCTAAATATATTTGAGTATTTAAATTGTGAATTAAAAGGTGAAATGATTGAAGTAACTGTCCACCCCAAGCAATCTAAGAAACATATTTTGGATAAGGCTGCACTAGCAACATTCATATCTTCGATTTTAGAAACATCCATTTAGTTATAAACAAATCGTTCGAAAAGTCTAACAAAATAAGAATAACGATGATGTCATTCTTGTTTAACTTGTTCGACTTTACAAACATACCCTAAGTTTTATTCAATTTTTAAAATTTTTACTTACATTGATTTCCTATCATAATTGTAAATGTTAGTTTAAAAATACAAAATGAGATATTTTAGTTTCATTAGTCAATGATGACTTATGAAGTGTTTGTTTGCAAAGCTATATTGAATGTAGAATTTGTAATAGATGATTTTTTTTTAGTTCTGGTTTTGAAGTTCTCAACTTGTTTTCAAGTGGAAATGATTTAGAATCATCAAGATGCTAGCCATATTGTGTAAATAACTGAGAACCGATATTTTCTAAGATATTTAGATATAAACATACAATGTCTATCTTGCTAGACAATTAATTTAACATCTAATTATTATTATTCATTGATCATTAGAGTTTGACATCAAAAATGTTTTGTGCCATATTCTTTTGTCTAGATTACGTGATAAAAGTAGCTTGGCTGATTTTTAATGTTCATGATACAAAATCTGCAGCCATAAACAATATCATTAGATATAGCCTAGTAACACCAATTTCATTTTTAAATATTTTTTGAAATTAAAAAAAATTTAATGATGCATTTCAGTATTGTTTAAGTATTTAATAAATTTTCAAAAACATTAATCAAAAATAATTTTTGAACTTTAAACATTTATCAGACTTCTTGATTATCAATAGCACTTGACCTAAATTATAAAACTTATTAGAATTTTCTTGATTTATCATATGTTAAAATTAAATTGCTGTTACATTTTGTGTAATTAATTTCTGATAACTTCTAAATGATGTAATATCTATAATGTATTGGTTAAGAGGTAAGAATAATTTAGTTGTTTGAAAGATCCAAGGTGTGGCTAACAAAGAATAATGCTTTGATAAATATCTTGATCTGCTATGTAGTTTAAGGTTGCTGTCAGATCATTGATAGTGGTAGTCTTCTGTATTATTCAGTAGATTTTAGTTTTCAGATTATTTGGGAAGTCAGTAATTGAATGTGACATTGTGCAAATTTAATGACAAATGATAATACATTTCTTTTGATATACAGTGGAACCCCCTCAGTTCCCATTGACGAGATAACTCGTCAAGCCTACATAGCCTTACGAAAAACGTGGTCCTTAAGGCCATTTTTGAAATTTTTTTTTTTGAATTTTTGGAATGTTTTTTAGGTCCCCAAATTTTTTCAAATTTTTTTGCCCGCGCGAAAAAATTTTATCACGATTTTAATTAGCCTTTAATAAGGCTCGATTAAGGCTCAATTGTTTTTTAATGGGAGTTTTTTTTATCAAATTTATTTCATGGTTCCTAAGTTGTAGTGCACGGATTTTCCTTCGGTAAAGTTATTTAAAGCTAGTTTCTGATGTCAAAAACGACCTCCGATAGTTTTTAAATTTTTTTAATTAATCGATTTTTTTTAATAATTTAATTAATTAGGGGGTTCGGAAATCGCAATAAAATTTTGAATTTTTTAAAAATATTTAAACATATAGGTGTCGGTCGAATTCACCCTACTTTAAACCCTTGACCTCCCGCGGCGTATATGAGAATGTCCCGGGAAATCCAAGTCCAGCTATGTTCAAGGTCACCCAGCTGTGTAAACAATGACTCATTGGTGTTACATTTCACAGACAGGCGAAACAAAGGAAAATAAAATTTAAAGCTTT